AAGATTCTTCTGCAGTCTTGAGTTTCTTGGCTGAAAATTTGGCTGACCAAAAGAGGAGAAAATATCCTTTGATATTTAATATTATTCCTCTATAATGGGTTCTTTATTAATAAGTTTTCCTTCTCATCACAAGAATAATAGGTTATCGATTTAGTGCTCTTGGGTACCTGTGAGGTCATCTAGTCTAAGCCCTTCATTTAACAGTTGAGGAAACTACATCCAGAGAGTTTGAGGGAATTGCCTAAGATCACAGGACTAGTAAATGACAGAGCTAGGATTTGACCTTAGACTGTAAGGATCTTTCAGTTCAGTTATTTTCAGTGGTGTCCAACTCTTCATGACCCTATTTGGGGCTTTCCTGGCAAAGATACTGGAGTGGTTTGCCATTTCCTTCTCCAGCTCCTTTGACAGATGAGGAAACTGAGGTAAACAGGATTAAGTTACTCATCCAGTAAGTGACACAGCTAGTAAGTGTCTGAGGCCAGATTTGGAGTCAGGAAGATGAGTCTTCCTGATTTCAGGCTGTTCTACCCACTGTGCCCCCTAACTGCCTTGATCATAATATTACCCTACAGGAATGAAGACTCAGATATTCTTCCTCATCAGTCATTATGTTTTTCAGTCTTTATCTGTCAGGCTAAATGTACCTTTAGAGAATAAGATAATAAAGGGCCATATTTATAATTTTTCAAGAAAAGGATACTATGTAGTCTAACAAGCTGAGTACTTAGTGGCCAAAAGAATTGTCCCTGCTGATTATTATACGACTTTGAAGAATTTTCATATCTTCTCAACTTGTCAAATTTGAAGTCAGATCACAATGTTTTTAGATAATTCAATTCATAGCATCATAGGTATAGATCCGTCCATCCATCCATGTCATCTAGTTCAAATTCCTCATTTTACAAATGAGTAAACTGAGGCTCAGAAGACTTAGTGAGTTGCCCTCGATCATAGAAGCAGTAGGTAGCAGAGTAGGATTTTAATTCAGATGCGTTGTCTCCAATTCCAGTTCTCTTTCAGCTGTACCACTTGAACACAGACCTTTGGCTATTAACATAAAGAAAATAAGTCAATGATGCAAATTTTAAAAAGTATTTAATAAAGATTCTTCTTCCTTTTTGTGTTTGTGGGAAATTCTTGGACATTTTTACTACAAGGGGATACTTATAGAGAATAGCAAAGAAGTTATTGGGTGTGGTTAGGCTAATGTGGTTTTTCAGACTGGAAAAGTTCCTTTGGGTTTAAAGGAATTTTGTTTTTAGACTAAATTCAGAGCTTCTTGAAGTGGAATGTTAACCAGCTGTCAGGGCTGCAAAGTGAAGTAACATGGATAAAGTTGAGATTTGGACTTCGGTTACCATTTGGTTGTAAAGTTGTCTTTTTTTTGCAGACAAACTTGATGACACCAAGATTTTGCTGTGTTGTAGAAAAAGTTTGGGGAAAGGCCCAAGATGGTCCTAAATGAGCTCAGAAATTCCATACTTATTGACTAAAGCTGTGCCAAGACTTTGGCCAAAAATTGGTGAAACCCTATAATATATCTGGAGAGCAAGGCTTTGTCTCCTTTTCGTTTAATCTCTAGAGTGGTAGGGACTGGGAAAAGACTTAGTCATGTGCATTTTGAATGAATTATTTTAAACTCTTAGATGCATTTGAAAAAGGGGGAAAAACCCAAGAACTTATGCAATACAAACTCAGAGAAACATGGGATGCAAAGCTCTTATTTCAGGCACTTTTTTTTGAACTATGATTTTTTTTGAAGCCAATTAGGGGAAATGAGTGTTGAAAGGAATGCAGAAAAATTTGGAAAGTAGGCTTTAGCTTTTCTGTTTGGCATATTGCTTAGGTCATTGGAAATCTTCTATGCAGGGAATACATTAATTTACAAAATCCATTCTTTTGCTTTGTTTTCTTTCTTTTACCATCTTTGCCTGTTCAGTTCCCTCTGCCTTCTGCTGCAATAAAGGCATATCCCAGCTGTCTTATTTTTCTCTGCTATCATTTGGCCATAGTATCTCTTCCCTTCCTTACCATTTCATTGATTTTGAAGTACCTTTGGACAAAAATAGAGGCTTTTAATATTTAATATTAAAATTTTAAATATTTAGTATTTAATGTTGTTTAGAAATAATATTTAGTATTGCCCCCAGTTAACTTTTTTTTTACTATTTCCTATTGTGCAATTTGCTTTTGGCTTAAAATCAAAGGAAGTTTATAAATTAGCTTAGTTCTTGCATACCTGTTCAAAATATATGGTCACTTTTTTTATTGGATTAAAATCAAATTAGATCTCTTCTAGAGTATATTAGGTGAACCAGACTAATAAGTCAGAGTTGAGAAATTCCTTCTCCAGACACACAAATAAAACTGCATTGCAACTCTGACGTTGAATAAAATTATCTGTATTGGGGCTAGAGTTCAGACTTGGCTTCTTTGTAAGATCCTGAGGTCAGCTGTCCTCTAGTCATTTGAACAATAACCTATCTATAAACTATATTCATAGAAATACTTTTAATTAGAAGGCTTAACTACTTTTTGCAATGATTCTTGTAGTCTTGGTTTTGCTACTGAGCCAGTGAAACATTCAATAAGCCTTGATGAAGCACCTACTATATGCTAGTTACTGGAGAAAGTAGCTGGGGCTACAAAGGCAAAAACAAAGCAGTCCTTGTCAGGAGGCTTATATTCTGTGAACACTTATTATGTGCTCTTGGCAAATTTTCTCATGATTGGTTTTCCTTTTTTTGAATAAGAAAATTATGTTTTATACAACTGTAGGGATACTGTAAGGATGAATCTTTGCTAAACATTTAGTTCTTATAAAAGTAAAAACATTTTGTGTCTTCCAGATGAACACCTTTTTATTACTATTTTAATTTCTTATGTATATATTAGAATCAATATATCCCAGTGAATAGAGAACTTATCTTGGAGTCAGGAAGATTTGGTGTCAAATCCCACCTACAGTGGGCATATATTATCTGAGTGACCTTGGACTAGTCACTTAACTTCATGGGTGCCCCAAGAAACTCTTTAAGTCTATAAGTTGTAGAATAGCATCAGTAGAGGAAATTTTCTCACTAGGAGTTTCCTGTGCTAATTTTCTCACCCATCTAGATCTCCCAAAAATATTAGTGGTAGCTTGGCATAGGATAGAGTGCTGGACTTGTAATCAGACCTGAGTTCTAGTCCTACCTCTGACTATGAGCAAATCACTTAAACTCTTTGAGACTTAGGTAATTATCTACTAAGTTATACATAGACTGTGATCTGCCTTGGTGGAGATAACACCATGTCCTACCCCTACCCCCACACAGTTACTTAGATACGAGGCAGCATGATATAGTATCCCGAGGATTCACCTTGGAGTCAAGATCTGGGTTCCAGTTCTGCCTGTGTGACCATAGACAAATCGCTTAATCTCTCAGTGTACCAGGCACTGAGACTTTAATCTACCAATGAGTTGCTGATTTACATTAGTGGAAGGAGTTTCCACACCAGGACTATGCCTGATAATAAATCACAGGTCTGGAAAAATATATCTATATCTATATGTAATATATATCTGTAGTAGCATATATGTGTGACAATATATATGTTAAACAGATACAGTATTCATTTAACATGATGCTGATATAATTAAAAGATAATAGATTTATAGAATTTTAGAGACTAAAAGGACTTTAGTCTAAGTTGAGCCTCAGAGAAGTTCAGTGATATGCCCACAGTCACAGAAATAATGTGACTATGCTTGTACAAATCTAACTTTTTCTTTCAAAATTTTGAAGTGTCCAGTTACTTATTAGTAAAAACTATTTAAAAATATTATTGATTCAATGATTGTGAGGAAACTTAGGCAGAAGATACCAAGGCACTTTGAATGGATTAATTTTATTTATTACATAATGACATTAAGAATTTTTGAATGGACATGTGGAAAGTTGTTTCTTCTGCAAATCTGATTCCTTAGTGAAAAGAAATCTCACTGAGATTTTTGTTTCTTTGCCTTATCAAAACTTTAAATTCTTCATTTGTGTGACCATCAGTTTGTTGAATAAATGATCTTCGAATGTTACTTGGTCAACCCTGTGAAGATGCAGTGTTGAATTGAACTAAAGTAGGATCTTTGGATTGGGGACATGAATAACATCAGAGTTGTTTCCCTAATTGGCATAAAATAAATTTATTTTTTCTTTCCAAAAAGAAAAACCTTTTATAGATTGGAATCATAGATTTAGAAGTCAAAAGTGACCTTTAGAATCATCTAGTCTAGGGGTTTTTACATTGTTTTTGTGTCCTTGACACTTGTGTCTGTTGAAACCTGTGGATTCCGTTTCAGAATACTGCTTCTAAATGCATAAAATACAATACATAGGATTACAAAGGAAATTAATTGTACTGAAATACAATTATAAAAATATTTTTAAAAAACACATTCACAGAACCTAAGTTAAGAATTCCTGCCCTGGAGTCAGGAGGACCTGAGTTCAAATCCTACCTCAGACGTTTGCTGGCTGTGTGACCCTGGGCAAGTCACTTAACCCCAATTGCCTTCCCCACCCCCCTAAAAAAAGAAAGAACTCCACTTTAGTTGAACCAGCTTTACTGATGAGTACCTTAAGGTATTTAAGGTTCAAAGAGGTAAAGAGATTTTCCCTGAAGTCACAAGGAAAGTAGTAGAGCTGGATTTCCAATATCCTTTCTTTATTACGTCCTTCTGAAATGACCTGACAAGGTTACAGAGCTAATTGCAAGGTCAGGGCTAGGATCCAGATTTCCTGAATTGTATTTCAAGGTTCATTCTTTTATTACCATATTGTCTTGAATTGAACTCATTTTTAAAAAATTATTGAATTAACCTGTTTTTCATTACTGGAACATTTAAAATTGTCATAAATGTTATTTCTTGGGCCAAAAAACAGCTTGGGGGGGGACAATTTCTGTAGGGAGGAAAGATGTTAATAAGACTTACTTTTTTTTTGTTTTTTTTTTTTTAGGTGAAAGTTATGTATGTGCATCTAATGAACCATTTCGCAAAGTTGATTACACCAAGAATGTTAATCCAAACTGGTCAGTGAACATCAAGGCTGGGTCAGCTCGGCCAGTGACGCCATTAGCTTCTACAAAGAGTGATGTGAAGGAAAGCAAAGATTTCATCAAGCCCAAATTGGTGACCGTGATTCGGAGTGGAGTGAAGCCCCGAAAAGCTGTGAGGATCCTGCTGAATAAAAAGACAGCCCATTCATTTGAGCAAGTCTTAACTGATATCACAGAAGCAATTAAACTAGATTCAGGTGTTGTCAAGAGGCTCTGTACCCTTGATGGGAAGCAGGTAAGTGGCATTAAGACACAATAACATCATCTTATAAAAGGATGTTAAACTTGAAAAGTAAGACTTTACAGCTTTATTCCTATTTTGGTGCACATCTCGAACCAGAAGATAAGTTGGAAATTTAACTCAGTAGGTTCTAAAAAACCTTTTCTTAATTCCTAAGAAATTATTATTGTACTCGTCCATCCTGGTTTTCCCCCAAGGAAACAGGACAGTATTGTACTTTCATTTATATACATGTGGCTTCATAAACCCCATCTATATGGAATTTAGATGATCCATGAACTGCCTTCCTTTTTTTCCCATCTAAATGTCTCATAAATAAACATAGCCTACTGAAGTGATCTGTTCAAGGTAACATATCTAGTAAGTTACAGAATCTTTTTCTGAGGAAGCAGGGAGAAGGTGTTAGAAACTTGGAATATATTCATTTCCACTCAATTTGTATGTTAGATGGGTGATTATTCTTTTTTTGTACTTTCGGCTTAGAGTAGAGTGGTCATGGTGGGTTTTTTTCACTCCAAGAGTCATCTCCAAAGGTGATTATCACTTATTCTGCCAAAATCATTGTTGGTGATCTATGTATCAATGAGGATTTCTATATAACATTCAGAATAACCAAGGTGCTTGACAAGCATTTCTGAGAAAAGAGCAGAAAGAGGTTAAAAAAATGCTTTGCAAATTATGGTGACAGTAACAACATAGGAAGTGTAAGGAACCTGTTAAAAAGGAAACATAGAATCAAAGAGACATATTGCAATAATATGTGAATAGCTCTAGTCTGTGACCTCTGAGTTTCATCATAGTTGAATTATCAGTCATCTGAAAAAAGCAAGTGATTTCAGACTTTCATTTTTTATCTTAACCAAATGGAATTGTATTAATTCATCTTGTCTTAGAAATCACTTATTTTCCAATGACCAGTTTTCTGTGTTATGTTTTTACATATTTCCTTCCACCCCTTTGCTCTCATTACCATGTTTACAACTAGTCAATAAAAATGAGTGTTTGGCTCCAGACCTTCATGGAAGGTTGCAATATAGAATACTTTTTAGAGAGATATATGGTGATAGACCTGACAAGCTAACGTATCTGTGTAACTGAATTAGTGTCTTCTCGGAGGAGAGAGAGAGAGGGAGAGCGAGACAGAGACAGAGACAGAGACAGACAGACAGACATAAGTAATTTCCGAATTCCTAAGATCAGGTTTAGTTAGGAGCTGGAGTTTTGTGACATGCTAACAGACTTGCAATAATGTTTCAGCCATAGTGGCCTACTAGCTATTCTGTGAATTTGGAATTCCATTTCCCACCTCCTTTGCCTAGGCTGTTCCAAGAATATACTTTTCTCCCCTTCACCTCTTAGAGTCTACTGCTTTCTTCAAGAGTCATCTACTTTCAGGGTGGCTAGGTGGTGCAATGAATAGAGCTCTGGCCTTGGAGTCAGGAGGACCTGACTTCAAATCCAGCCTCGGACACTTAACACTTACTAGCTGTGTGACCCTGGGCAAGTCATTTAACCCTGATTGCCTCACAAAAAAAAAAAAAGCAAAACAAAAGTCACCTACTTTCTTCAGGTGCTACCTGCTAAGTTCAAAGGAAAGGAAAAATTTATCTCCCTAGTTTTTTCTTTTTGCTCTTACTTCAAATTATCTTCTATTTACTTATCTGTGTACCTATTGCTTTTTCCCAGTAAATGTAAGTCCCTTGAGGGCAGGGACTGCTTTTTGTAGTAGCTAAAATGAGCTGGCCTCTGTTTTCTACATTGGTTAAATCTAGCATAATGGAGACCCCCCCCCCCACAAAAAAATAAGCATATCTTCTATAGAATTGCCATGAAAGTAAACTCAAGTTAACTGATTTTGCTAATGCACTCTGTAAGGCTGTTTTTCAGGCACCTGGACTGTGTGGGAATCAGCTCACTCAAAAGGCTGCATTAATAGCTTATTTACAATGCTGCAGCCCACGTACAGTTTCATGAGTGAAAGGGTGGGGGAGGAATCCGTATCGGTTCATCCCTTCCTTCAAAGTTGCCCCAATCTCTTTCACACACCCCCAGCACTTTGGAGGGAGTAGCTGGAGAGCAAGGGAAAAAAAAGAGAGCGAGAGACCAGCCATTTCCCCAAGGAGAAGGTTTTACACCTGCTCAAAGTGAAAGGTTAGCAAGGGCCTCCCAGAAGAGCCAAACCAGAGCACTGTTTCCTCTTGCTGTTCTCTTTCACATCCTACTTGTCCCTGACTCCTTCCTCTCCATCACCCCCTTGGGGAAAAAAAAAACACCTCAAAACATCAAGCACTTTCTGGTTGAGAAAGGAAAACAGACTCGAGTTTAGAAATGGAAACAGCTTGCTAACAATTAAGTGTCAGGATCTTTGAGCATGAGTGTGAAGTATTTTTAAAGAATAACAAAAACTTGTCACTGCTCTGGGAAACATCAAGCAATTGTTTTTGCATGTACAAAGGGGAAAAAAGTGCTTTGAAATATTTCAAATAAAATTTTCCTTTGGAACCTTTACAAGTTCAACTTTTGATAGCCATGACTTTGGAGACTGGGCTTCTAGAGCCTCATGTGTTCTAAATAACTTTAGTTTTCTTGTTGCCAGTTTGTATTTTATGCTCTAGATGGACTTGCTATTTTAAAGTAAAAAAAAAAATTATTAAGAGCAAGTTGTTTGACACATCTGTTTCTTGGTTAGTGTGTTTTATTCCAAAGATCTTTCTTGAGAATAATTGTGTTAATTGAACTCTTTTCAATCTTTTTTTTGGGGTCTGTTTTTTGTTTACAAATTCAAATTCTACTTTTAAAGTTTTTAAATAACTTTTATTGATGTCTTTTGTTTAAACATCATTCTCATTCCTGAATATCCCCCCTCTCCCAGCCTCAAGTCCTCCTTTATAAACTATTTATTTTTAAAAGGATAACAAACACTTCTTTGAGTTACTTTTAACTAGTCTTCATAAAACAATATTGAACTTTTTCTCTGTGTATAAAAAAAAGTCTGAATTATCTCAGTCAATTTAAATGAGTGGTTTTTTTTCTCCTGTAAGGAGAGAAGGTAAAAATGGTAATTAGGAATCTCTCTCGGTGTCTCTTGATCTTGTGTTTGGTGCTGAAGGAGTTCCATAGTAATCAGCTAGGCTGACCCTTCCCACCACCTTTCCCACGCCACCATCTCACCATTATAAGGATCTGGCACAAGGCTGCAGAAGCCATCAGGATTAAGTGACTTGCTTAGGGTTCCACAGGTATTAAGTCTCAGAGCCTGGATTTGAATCTATATCCTCAGGTTTCACCTTTTTCTATACTATGAATATACTTCCTTGGTGCATTAATAACTCTTTCTCGTTATAACCTTGTTACTGCTGGTCTTGCTTGAGGCTTGTCTCTCTTATGGATTTTGTGACTTTCTGGTCAACTCATTTCAGATCGTATCTGACTTAAGATTCCACCCATTTCAGTTTACTGGGTTTTCTTTGATATCTTAAATGAGATGATTTTGGAATCTAGACACTAGCTATGATACTACTCCTTGGGTTACATCATAAGGGTTTCATTGTAGACAAATTTCCTCATAGACTGGGAATGCTCACATTATCACTATCCTAGCTGCATAGTCCATGCATAGCAAATGATAGATGATGATTATAGTTGTTGGGGGCAGTTGGGACACATTTGGAGAGCTATTTGGACATTAGAGAAGCTTATTCTCTCCCTCCTCATCTCCACCTCCTGGCTTGCCTGGTTTCCTTCAAGATTCAGCTCATATCCCACTTTCTGTAGTCACCCCACTCACACTGTAAGGCTTTCCCTTTGAGATTAACTTCTGTTTTCACTATGTATGTGTATTACAATTCTTTTTGTATGTCATCTCCTTCACTAGAATGTTAGCTTCTTGAGGTCAGGGACCCTGTTTTTGCCCTTCTTTGAATCCTTTGGAGCCAGTTGTGTGACATGGGAGACACTGGCAAAGGACTGCCCAGCATGGTGTGCCGACATCAAAGAAGGCACTGTTCTCTGAGCGAAGCAGAATTGCGGTAGCTCAAAAGAAACCTGAGATGTGCAAATTTAGAGACATCTCCACTCCAGATGTTTATGTAGACTCTTTGTACCCGACCTGTGGTAGAGCCTTCTGAGCTTGTGTTGGTCTGATCAGTCACAGTGGGACACACTGTACCTTGACCTCAACATAGTGATATCATTTTGGTCTCCTTTGACAATGAAGGACAGCAACCATCACCAGCATTCAGCCCAATGCTTGCACATGTTAAGTTCTTAATAAATATTTGTTGACTAACTCAGAGTTGTAGGGAACCTTGCCTGAACCCAAGAATAAAATTGGGGAAAATGTTATCATTACTTTTGTTGTTGTTCAGTTGTTTTTTGTATCCGGCCCTTCATAACTCTACTGGGGGTTTTCTTGGCAAAGATACTGGAATGATTTGCCACTTCCTTCTCTAGCTTATTTTTACAGTTGAGAAATTGAGGTAAACAGGTTTAAGTTAGTTGCCCAGGGTCACAGAGCTAGTAAGTGCCAGAGGCCAGACTTGAACTCAAGAAGATGAGTCTTCCCAACTCCAGCCCCAGGATTCTATGCTCTGAGCCACCTAGCTACCCATTATTACTTAGTTGCCATATCATTATTACCATATTATATAAAAATATAAATGATGTTTTTAATATAATAATGATATTATAATGATATCATCACATCATTATATTAACTTATCATTACTTAGATACTAAGAGGTCCCATATTCACCTACTATCTAATTTTCTTTTTAAATGAAATCTATTTAGATAATACACCAAATCGCTAGAAATGTACTTTTCTTCAAAAATTCAGGAAATTTGGATTAATTTTTTTTAACCAGACCTGTGATTTCATCAGAATATAGAGGTTCCAGTGAGGAACTTCTGGGACCAGTATAGATCAGGATATTTTTGTAACTTGAGGTTTCAATTGCATGGCAGTATTGAGAAGTTAAGTGACGTGCCTAGGG